TTGTTCGCTGCTGCCTTGGAGGAGGCGCTCGGGCCCGCGGCGGCCCTGCCCGGGGGGGAACTCCAGCAGCGGGCTGGCAGTGGGACAGCTTCGGAGACGTCGGGGCGCGCACCCCGTGCACGGCCAGGCATATCGTGAGGTGCTGCGGACTGTATCGGCTGGGGTCTCTGCCCGACTGGACGCCCAACCGAGGGCAGTCGGAGCTCGGGAGCGTGAGCCACTGCGGGAGGAGACTGTCCTTTCGCTCGCTTTTGCGCCCCGTCTGCGGGGAGGCGACCAGGTGCACCAAGGCGGCGCGCCGCCCCTTCCAGGTGCAGCTCTCAGGCGCTCGGGGGTCCAGGGGCACGTCGGGGTCTCCAGCTGAGAGCCCTCGCTGCTGCTGCTGCGTCTCCGCCCCGTGGCGCCAGGCCGTCTCTGTGTCGTCGTGCAGCTTGCGGGCGTGCCGCACCACTATGTGCGCGATGGTGCACTCTTTCCATCTCGCGAGTCAGGTTCCACGCGGTCGGCGGCACGGAGGGTCGCAACATTACGGTCTGCGAGGGGGGGACAGGGCGGTGGCGGCGCCAGGGGCAGGTCCGGAAGGATGGCCTCGGTGTCGATCGGGTAGGGTAGGGGGGAAACCACGACTTCAGCCAGGTGGGGCAGGGAGTGTGCTGGTCAGGTGGCACTGGTTGAAGCAGTCCGCACCGAGCGAACGCAGCCCTCCCCGCACTGTGCAGGAATCCCAAGACCCCTGGCTGCAGTAGGCAGGGCGTCTTTGAGACATCTGTGGGGAGAGCCGGCGAGTAGCCGTTCCACTGGGCCGAGCGCGTGTCCGCCGCCCAGGAGACACACACACACACACAACGCGAAGCTGTCGTGACCGTGCCGAGAAGTTGCCCTGGGGGCCTCTCGCAAGAGCGAGTCCAAGGCGCACGCGGCCCCTTGGGAGCCGAACCGCGCAGGAGCTCATGACAGACTGATGGTCGACGAAATGGTACAAGCTCGAATAAGCCAGCACTGGACCAGAAAGCAAACGGCACCATCCCACCTACGGCCCCACGGGCCGTAGCGTATACCAGGACGTCTGGCGTGGGTTCTTGCATGGTATACGCTACGGCCCCCGATGGGCCGTAGCGCAACATTGAGGGTCGTAGGTGCAGTCGCAGGTGCCGAGTAGGATGTGCAGGCTGGAATGCGGAATGCAGATGCGCAAGCTGCCCAAACTTCCAGGGCACGGTGCGAAGAGCAGACACACACACACACACACATTCTCGCAAACTCCCGCGCGTATGTGCTATGACCGCCGCACGCACCTATGCCCAAAACGCGCCGCGTACACACACCATACGCAGACCGTACCCAGTCGACCATACAAATACACGAACACGACAAACACACAGACGCGCACAAACAGACAACGAGCGCCAGCTGCAGAAGCTGGGCGAGAGGGTCGCCACGCGGCTTTGCCCCAGAAACGAAACGACACCGAGGAGGCACACATCACGACACGAAAGCTCAGGCTGCGCTCCAGCCTGCACTCCTCGTGCACTCTGCTCCCGGTTGCACGTGTGCGTCCTTTGAGACTGCGACCCCAGACCCCCGACGTCGTGATTTTGGCCGCTACGTGGAGCCCCAGAGGTCTGGACCCCTGCCCCGGGACCGGCTTCTCATTCTGAGTCGGTTTCAGAGGGCCCCGAGGCCTGGTAAGGGCCCCCAGAGGCCGAAAATGGCGAAAAAAACTACAGTTTGGGAGGCCTGGAAATGGGCACCAACACCAACACAGGGGGCTGCCTCCACAGGGGTAAGAAGATCCTAGATTTCGGTGTTGGTGGTGATATTTCGGCCACCTTGGAAGTCAGAATATGACCACCATCACCGAGATTGGGATCTCCTTCCCTCGGTGGAGGCACACCGCCGATATTGGTGTTGGTGTCAACCTCTAGGCCTGCGAGCGTTGTGATTTTTTCGCGACGCGAGGGGGTCTGGGACTGGACGTCCACCACCAGCCGTCTGGGCTGGCGCCCCCGAGGTCTGCACGTCCGCACCTCCCGATCGCCCTCCCTCGCGGGCCGCGGCCGGCGATGCGCTGCGCGCGCCGGGGCCCCGGGGGGCGGCGGAGAGGGGCACCGCGCTCTGCTCGGCCGCCGCCCTGGCAGGAGGCAGCGATGGCGGTCTGCAGGCCGCGGCCCTCGAAGAATGGCACGGTTCAGCCCCTGGGGGCCCTCGCCGGGCCTCGGGACCGTCCAGAAACGACTCGGGATGAAAAGCCGGTCCCCAGGAAGGGGTCCAGACCTTTGGGGGTCGACGTTGTGAAGAAATCACGACGTCGGAGGTCAGGGAAGAACGCACGGGCTTCACCAGCGCATTTTTTAATCCGCGGCCATAACAGGCGCAATGCCTCCCCCCACAGACTGTACCGAGGACGCACTGCGGCAGCGCCCAGGACGCACTGAGGGGAGGGAGCGTGAGGTGATGGAGGGGGGGGAGGGTAGGTGGCACGGCGCGCGCTACGTCCCAGGGTGAAAACAGAAAAACAAAAAACAAAACAAAACTCGGCACGTCACGCCGGACGCCCCTAACAAAAACGTGTCGATCGTGCACCCAGCCAGCGCTGACGGCCTGCCAAGTGGTATGCATCTGCGTCGAGTAGACACATCACCTTGTTCGCCTGTCACCCAAGATAGGTATTTAAGTCTTTGAGTTCCCGCGTGGCTCGTAGGCAAGATGGCCTGCGCCATATGTGGAAGAGCTCCAATACCCTGGCAGACATTGGATACCACGACATCCTTACATGACACCTATCACTACCTCCACCGCCCCGAGTTCGTGCGCAGAGAACGAACCAACTGGCGTAGCGGTTACGTGGCTGATACATCGACATTGCCCAAAAGTGAAACTCACATGCGTATCCAAGAGTCCGTGTTCAAGTGTAACGCCACATGCTCACGAATCGACTACATGCTGATGTGGTATACGTGAAATTGGACGATTCATTCCAAACGCGATGCAGTACGCATCAAAGGAATACAGCGCTAATGCATGCAACGCAGCGTATGGTTAATCATTTCAAGCAAAGCGAAGAATCAACTGTAATACAAAAGCAAGAGCGGAGCAATGCACGTACATGTAGACAATACAGTAAACATAACACCTAAAATCTGAAAGTACAACTGAAAATCCTGGTCACGCGAAACAATGTACTGCAAAGTAGCGCAGTGCAAAGCAAAGCAAGGCCGTGCAAAGAAATACAGCGCGGTTCAGAGCAAACCAAATAATGCAATGAACATGCAACTCAAAATACCCAGCCGAAGAAATCCTACGAAACAGTACAGCGCAGAATGGAAAGCTACCCAACAGCAATGCAACGCAAAGCAGGGCGTAAGGCAGCGAAATAGAAGGCAATCAAACTCAGTTCGGAGCAGGGTGTAGCATTAGGTCGGGCATGTCCCCCTACAGGCGGATTTTGGACGAAAAAATATTCAAAAATATACGAAATTATTCAAAAATGGTCCAGAAATCGTCCCCTGACTACTTTTCGACTATTTTTGAATATTCCTCCTGTAGAGGGACACGCCCGACTTAAGTGGAGCACACCGGCGCAATTCAGAGCACAGCAGGGCAGCTCCGAGCAGGGAGTTTGAAGCAGCTCGAGGCAGAGCGGAAACATGCAGAGCGGCAGCGAACACAAGGCGGAACAGATCTAGAGTGAGGTCGGGCATGTCCTCCTACAGGCTGATTTTGGACGAAGAATAACCCAAACAAATAATAATAATAATAATAATAATAATAATAATACATAATAATACATAATGAAATGCAGTCGGAAAAAAGCGTCCCAAGACTTTTCTGGCTATGTTTGAACATTCCGCCTGGAGAGGGGGGCATTCCCGACTTCAATCTAGAGCCAATCAGCGAGGGCAGGAGAGCCCAGAATCGAAACAACAAGTCGGATCGGCGATCGAAATTCATCGGATCGGCGGGAATCGGCAGCCGAGTCGGGAGAAGCCGAACCGGCGGAACTCGGCAGGCCGGTTGGCCTCCACTGAGACATCGGAACCCGCATCGGACTCCGAAGTCGGATCGAACCGGAATCGGAGGCCACAGGAGTCGAAGCGGATCGAGGCGGAGGAATCGAGAAGAGCCCTGCCAGGGCCCTGTCCGGGAGGGGAGGGGAGGCGCTCCAAGGAGCCCGCCCAGGAGAGGAGGGCGGCTCCCGGATGTCAGGTCCAAGGAGGGAGAAGGCCGGGCGCCCCGCGCACACGGCCCCTAGCATTATGTCGGGCGTGTCCCCCTACAGGGGGATTTTCAACAAAAAAACAAAAAAAAAAATGCAAAATAGTCAAAAAATAAACCAAAAATAGTCCGGGGACTATTTTTTGAGCATTTTTCTGCCGTTTGGGAACATTTTTTGGCTATGATTTATTTTTCGTCGACAATTCCCCTGTAGGGGGACACGCCCGACTTAACCTTAGCAGCCAAGGAGCTGGGCGTGGCCAACGACTGGACACTGGTCTTAGCTTAGGTCGGACATGTCCCTCTACAGGAGGAATGTTCAAAGGTGTCAGAACATAGTCATAGTATAGGGACGAAGTTTCGACTGTGTTCGACCCACTCTTGCGTAGCTTTGACACGGCTTCGATTTTTCTTCCAGAATCCGCCTGCAGGAGGACATGCCCGACCTAACACCGGACCCTCCGCACCGAAGAACTGAGCGACGAAAGTGATGAGAACAAAAACAAAAAACAAAACAAGCAAAAACAAAACAAGAAAAATGCAAACACGCAATATGGCATGGCGACCCTACGCGGCGGCTTGCGCGGGCCGCCAGCGCGGCACGCTACACTGGACACGAGAGCGCTTACGCGCGACTTCACGCGGGCAGCTTACGCGCCAACGTCGGTGCAAACGACCCCGTTTTCCCTCGTCGCTCAATCGGACTGCTCCTTCGTCGCTCAATTGGACTGCTCCAACAATCGCCCACCGTTAACAAAAGAAACTAGATAAGCATAACAGGTCTGATTTTTTTGACCTCCACGGGCCCACCGCATAGTGCAAGCAACTGGCAAGGCGGGACCTGCCAGCTCTGAGAAGACCTCGCCTCGGCGAGAGCCGCTATGGGGAGGGGGTTTCGGGAGTTCCTTTCGGAGCGCCCACTATGGCCCCCTCCCCGCACGGATCGACCCTCGGCTCGGGCTCTCACTGTCTGGCAGACACGCCAGAGACAGTGCACAAGAAAAAACAACTCGCCACACAAGTAGCCATACCTGCCATTAGTGGCGAATGACAGGTGAAAAACAGGCACCAGCTGACCCTCAGCTGGAAAAACGATCGGCAACGCGGAGAGCATCCTGAGCGGACAGGCGGTCGCCGCTTAGATCGCGAAGCCGCAACCTATGCCACAACAGCCTGAAGGCCAAGGAGGCAAAGCACGGCCGAGGATAAGATTGAGAACAGAAACAAAATTAGAGGGGGTGGCTGCGACGGCAACCACACGAACAAGAAAACGGGTTCACACCTGCCAAAAGAGAAAGGCAGGCAAGAACGCTGCAAATCAATCCGAATCCCCCGACCCCGCCTCCACAGCCCCACCCGTTCCCATATCGTCCGCCTCGCAGCGGAGAGAAGCGGCAATGCGCCTCAAGCACTCCCTGGTGGCTGGGGCCGAGGCGACCACATCACTCGAGGAAGAGCTGGGCGCAACGCTGCAGACAGGAACGCTTGCAACAGATGCAGTAGCAGGCTCTGTGGGGCGGGCATGCTCCTGCCCTCCAGCGCTGGCAGCACTGCCAGTCGAGCCAGAGGGCGCGGAGCTCTTGTCACCTTCCTCCGAAAAATCAGGATTCGAAACCAAATACGAGTTGAAGCAACGCACAAGAGAGGTATCATCAACTGTGACACCTTTACTCGACCTGGAGTAGTGCGGATGAATACCCTTACACAAAGCAGCCCAACCCTGACGACCCGCGCGGGAAGGCTTCTTACAGACTTCCCCTAGGCCTCTAATCCTGCCACCAGTGGAGTGGCATTTGCATTTCTGGATCCCCCGGCAGCCCCGGGCGCCTCCAGCGACGTCACCGGCGTGCTCCGTGCGCTAGGGAGGGGGGTCCAGCGCCGATCCAGAAAGCCCGCGCGCACACCCGAAAGGTTGTAGGCAGAACCGATAGGAAGGATGCGCGATAGAAATGCAAGGGCCCTGGACACGCACGTCGAAGCTTTTCGAGAGGGGCTGGCCATCGAAAGTGGTTATGGATGGACCGAAGGGGGCAAGAATGCAAGGGTCCCCGTGGAAAGGTGGCCTATCCCTCTCATCGGTTTCGACCGTATGTTTGCGTCGCTTGTCTCTTTCCATCTGTGCAAAAGAACGCTTGTGCTTCGAGCAACGTGAGATTCACCCCGCACTAGAGATGTGGCAATCGGGCTCCACGAGGCGGTGGCGACAGGGGAGATGGCACAGGAAGGGCAGTCCGATCTTTTCCACTCGCAACGCGTCCCGCAGTGGTAGCGTATCCGAGGATACGTGTCGGAGGAGCGCAACTGCAGCAGAGCATTCTGCGCAAGAGGAACGCCCGGGGAGGGCTCCGAGAAAGGCTGGGAAAGGAAGAGGGGAAGCACAGCACCCGCCAGGACCCACCAACA